TATATTATAAAAGAGAAGTCAGTGCTTTGTAGACTCAAAAAGCAAAAAAACGTATTGCAGCACCTTCTCCATGGCACATTATTTGACAAACCACATATATCATAAAAGAGAAGTCAGTGCTTTGTAGACTCAAAAAGTAAAAAAAGTATTGCAGCACCTTCTCCATGGCACATTATTTGACAGACCACATATATGATAAAAGAGAAGTCAGTGCTTTGTAGACTCAAAAAGCAAAAAAACGTATTGCAGCACCTTTTCCATGGCACATTATTTGACAAACCACATATATTATAAAAGAGAAGTCAGTGCTTTGTAGACTGAAAAAGTAAAAAAAAGTATTGCAGCACCTTCTCCATGGCACATTATTTGACAGACCACATATATTATAAAAGAGAAGTCAGTGCTTTGTAGACTCAAAAAGTAAAAAAAGTATTGCAGCACCTTTTCCATGGCACATTATTTGACAGACCACATATATGATAAAAGAGAAGTCAGTGCTTTATAGACTCAAAAAGTAAAAAAAGTATTGCAGCAGTTTTTTACTATTGATTCCATCTTTCGGGGATCTTGTCATTTGGCTCGTGAAACTCGTTAGGCTCTCCCCTACCCGGAAACGGTAAATTGGATTCAATTTTGATTTCTTTCATACAGGTGAAAAGCCCTTCGAGTGTCCTGAATGTGGTCGTCGTTTTGCTCGTTCTACTGATCTGAAGGTCCATCTACCCGTCCACAGTGATGACAAACCATACAAGTGTGGGGAGTGCGATAAAATGTTTACAAGGTTTAGCACCCTCAAAGAACATATACGAACACACACAGGTATCGTCTATATTTAAAAGGTTTTGGCTTGCACTGAATGTAATCCTATATATTATGAATTATGTGGTTTATATAGAATTGCCAAAAGTCGACCTTTTCTCCGGACGCTACAGAAAAGCAAGAATTTTTTGCGTGCAGCAAAGTCGCGAGAGTTTGCATTCCACTCCAGCAGTGTTATGTAGAGGGCGGGTGACAAACTTAGAGGTAATAATTCTAGTAATTTTTACTGAACTGTTGCTTTCGTATACAGGGGAACGACCCTTCAAGTGTGAAGAGTGTGGTCGTGAGTTTAACCATCGTAGTCATTTTAATAACCACCTTCGCATACATACCGGTGAAAAGCCCTTCAAATGCGATACCTGCGACAAGGATTTCTCGCGCAAAGCAAGTTTGAGGTACCACATGAAGGTGAGTGATAAATAATCATGAAATAAATAAAAGGGATTTAACAGTGGCATTTCTACTGAGTAGCTTTTCATTCACTGAATTCCAATTGGAATTTAGTTGTTGATTGAGGAAAACCGGAGAACCCGGAAAACCCTTGAAGCACAAAAGAGAACCAACAAGCAACTCTACTCACATATGACGCTGAGTCCTGAAATCAAACCCGAGTCGCCTTGATGACCGGCCGCTATGCCACCCCTGCTTCCCAGAGTGTTTCAAGACTTCGCACTAATATGGCACTTAGACACACCCAAGTTCTATTGTACTGGAAAATAACAGCATTTATCATATGACCCGTATCTGCCTGGGCGCGCACGAATCCGTACGGCCCTGCTCGAAACCTATGACCGTATTGACATAAATTGCAACTTTTAAAATATCTTTTTTATTTAGGGTCATATGATAAAATGCTTATTGACTGAGTTAGGTCGGACCGTACGGGAAAATATTTGGCTCGAGGTCATTTGTACGGACCTCGCTGCGCTCGGTCCGTACGGCATGACCTCGAGCCAAATACTTTCCCGTCAGACGGCCCTCCCACTCAGTCAATAAGTACATATTTGTCGATGCTCACTCGTACAACATTTACTTATGCTTCGTCACCTAGTATGTAATTTGTGGTCATTGTTTAACAGGTTCATTCCAAAAATCGCGAACGTGCTCCAAGGTCTAAAAAGTCCAGCGAAGAAGAAGAAGAAGGAATGGAAGAACAGATGAGCACTGTTAATGCCAGCCATATTAACCCAGACGCTGAAGTGCAGCTAGCAGAAGCTTTAGTAGCTGTTAGCGAGTCTATGATTGGCTCTGACGTTGGCATGGAGACGGCACACGTCGTTGCCGTGGAAACAAGTGGTCAGGAAACCGATGAACAGGTGGAGTATCTTTTCCCATTAAAGTGAATGAAAAATGTAAAGAAAAAATAAACATAACTTCATGCTTTTTGTCTTAGGTCTTGAGTGGTAATGCAAATACCCAACACGTGGTAGACCCAGTGACCCAGGCCGCAGTGAATGCTGGTATATCTGATAGCGATGTGGCTGAGGTGCTGGTCCAGTCAGCTGGCAATGCAAATCACCAGTTGACTAGCCAAGGTTTAGCCAATCAAATCATTGAGGTCACGACCTCAGCCCACCCAGGACAAGACGAGGCCAGCCATGCACAACTCGTAGTAGATGCCTTATCTCAGGGTGCAATCGATTCTAGTCAAGTGGCTATCATGCATATCCCCCAGGAGGGGGTTACAGTGACCGGTGATGGCATTGAGACTATGAGTATGACTGTATCAGCAGAGATCTTGGCTGCTATGGCAGCGGCTCAGTCGGGACAGACGTCCATGATTATGACAACCACCGGCGATCATTCTCAACAGCAATCTGTTACCATAACGACCCAGGCAATGCAAGCTCTACAAAGTCATCTGGCAGGGGAGAGAAGCGAGTCCAGTGAAGAATCAACTGTTTCAATTCAGGGGATGCAACTTGAGGAGGTACGACCGGAAGACGTAGGGGGAGGGGGTGAAAAAAATAACGAGAATGAAACAACAGCCAACCAAGAGCAACATATACAGGAGGAAGCCATGGTTACTGAATAAAAAAGATGAACTCAACGAAACGTAACGTAGCTAAGAATAAAGAGGCTCGTAGGATGCCTGCTGTATCTCCATGGCAACAACATCCACATATTGTTTCAGCTGTTTTCAATCACTGACAAATCCAGTTTGGCGGACGCCATCTTTCATTATCAGACTCTGAAGCGAAAAGGAGTCAATGGATCATTTGTCTTTGTTATTGAAAATGGCTGTAGCTATCTTCCATGATCAAACAATACTAATCAAGTGTGTAAATACTACTCTTGAAAACACTCTGAGTATTGTAATCTTTCATGAAAGTGTGTGTTAAATTCATAACGTTTGTTCCTCGGAACTTATTATCCCTGATACAGCTATTTCGACTAAGTCAGTGAAGGTTTTGTTGCAAGTTGTATATCGACTCTGGACTGCACTATAGGCGATGTGAATACAATCAGTGAAAGGTCAAACGATATAAATTTTGTCTCGACGTTTTTCTGGCAAAAAGCAACATGCATGAAAACCTTCACCAACCTTTTTTTTTGAAATAACTATATCAGTACCCATACATACATTTATTCTTCTTCTATTCATATGCTTTAGGGAGCAATTATCATTTATAGGGTTTTTTAATAGCCAATGTGAACAAGCACGAAACTTGATGGGAAACCGAGTACTTATGGTTTTTAAGCTCCTCTAAAATTCCTCTGAAAATTTTTCCTTCGACATTTTCTATGAAGCAGTATTTCAACAGACGAAGATAAAAAAGTAATTCTTTTCTGATAATTTTATTGATTTCTGTTCTAATTTGTGTAGTACTCGGTTTTGTGCTAGAGATTCAAGCTCGTGCACATTCCCTATTCACAGTAAGTTTAATGTGTGACTGGAAATTCAAAATGCACGATCATGGTCAAAAAGATCAATATGAATCAAAATATACGAAATTTCTCTCAGATGCAAACAGAATACAAATGTTATCACGTGACATGGGATTGGATTATTCTAGTACCCAGACCCTTCTCAGCGAAAATTTGAATTTGATGATATATGTACTTCATGGCTGAGTTTTTCGTTAGAAAGCTGAGAAGGGCTTGTACGAGAATGGATTTGATCTATATGGCCTTTTACATGTAAGACCATCAATTACATTCGCAATGGACGTTTTTCTTGTACTAATAGTGCTACTGTGAGGATGCTTACTTTATAATTTCATCGATATCGTTAATCCGTATCAACATATTTGTGTGCGTGATATGTCTTGTTTTAAAATAAGAGTGATAAAGTTAAAATATTTGAATGAATAACAAAATGTTTATCTGTGTTAAACTCGACTTTCATAATGTATTTTTAGATAAAATTAAATGACATTCTTGTCAACAAAATTGTTAACGTCTTTATTTTCTGTTCAAACCTGGATCAAAGTATTTTAGTGTAAACCTACTAATGATTATGGTCTATCACGAATTCTGCGCTTTGTTTGGCTCAGCTACTATTCCTGTAGTGTTATATAAGATCTTATATTACTATCTAGTACTAATGATGTCATTAAAAATATTAATTTGTTTACTTATAAACAATATTCATAACAAAGGGAATGCCCTCTCGACTGCCTGAAACAGACCCTTTGCATTGATTTCCTAGAGGAATCGTTGTGGGGACAAAACAATAGGGCGTCTTTCTCTTTTGTTAAAAAAAATCTATCCGGTTTTGTCCCCCAGAACAATTGCTCTCGGGACTCACTGTCAGGGGCTATACAACTCTACAAAAAAAAAAAAAACAGGGCAAATTTGACCTAATCCCTCGGAGTTTCGCTGTTATTGCATATCTGCAGCTGTGTATTCCTCTATAAAATTCCCATTAATTGTTCATCCAAATTTCAAATAAAAAGGAAAGTTGGTTAGTTTTTGAATACTTCTCTAAAGCTTTCTCAATGAAAAAAAATTATAGACTGAAAACCTGCATAGTAATTAGTCTGCTGCTACATGATGGAAAGGAGGCACTTCCTGATTGGATCGTTTTAGATGGTCAAGGAAAAACAAAACAATCAAGCCAAAACCTCTGGTTGGCAACTAATTATACTTAACTAATTATAACTAATGATAACAACTTCTTTGTCTTTCTGTGAAACTACTGGGGTATCATTGCTATAAGATGCCAGTCCTTGAAAAAGAACAGGAACATCGACAGTGACATCGACAGTGACATCGATTGGTACAAGCTTATTCAAGGCGCTAGCTGCAGAACTGTCATCATAAGGATCGCCTATCTGAATCATAGATACAAGCAGCTCAATCAATCCCTTCTCCAAGAGGGCTTCTCGCAAGCCTGCAAAACGACTCATATTCTCAATGCACTTTGCAATGTCTACAGCATACACACCATGGTAGTTAAGCCACTCCTCGCCATTTCTTAAAGACTTTGCAAGAATGTCTGTGACAAAATCCAAGCAACTCTCTTCTGCAAGCAAGTACACACTTGTCTCCTCATTTATAACTTCAGCAGCAATAAACAAGGTCAATGATTTAACCAATGTAGTCAAACTTTCAAAAGCTCCTTTATAATTGAGAAACACATTGAGGAGAATCAAAACAGTATCACACAAGTTCCAAAACTGTGGCAAGGTAGCAGGGATTTTCGACATTGCCCACAAAAAGTCAATGATACCAAGGAGTATCTTGAACTGGTCTGGGTTTGAGCTTGGTAACAGCATGACATTTAGATCGCTCAAAAGTAGCTCGAGTATCTTAGTTGAGGCTAGGTTAATAGCAAATGTTTTGCTTGCGATAAGATGTGTTAGTACTTGTGTTGTTACAGCTACAGAAAGAGGGAAAATTATGAGGCCGTCAGTTGAAGGATGGGTTGCTTTTGCCTCTGTGACACTGCTAGTCAGTGTTTTTTCATCTGACTGCATCATGTAATGAGACTTCATTAAGTACAGCTCCAGGACAAAATGAATGTCAGTGTTGGCTAAATTCTCAGCAACATTTCTGAGAGACTTTTTGTCCAGACTATCAAGGATGTTCTTTACTTTGAGTACTGTTGAGTATATTTGTTTCGCCAGATCGGTCTGGGGTACCGTGTTATGCGCTTGTAGAGTCTCTTTAAGTTCCTGTAGAATCCTTTCAGAAATAAACTTGTCGGAGATTTCACTATCCATCTTGGAATGCAAAAGCTAGGGATAAGCTTTCCCTCAAAATTCGAAGCGCTAGAAGTTTCACTTTTCAAAGTCTGAGTTCACTTCCGACTTCAACAAAACCATTGCTCTTAGCTCGAATAATCGACATACCTCTTTCACTTCATCCATCACTCTACCAACAGATCTTGAAGTCTTTGCGCCATTCTTTCTGGCATAAACAAGAAATCCACAAACAAGAGGAGAAAGGAATTCCAGGGAAGTGGTTTGTTTCCAAGAAGTTAAAATTGATGGGAGATGCCGCTGGCCCTATAAGTCTGATTGGTTTCGGGGAGGGGAGGGGGGAAGGGATGGAGGAGAAAATGTAAAAAATGTACCCCCCCCCCTTGAATCGTTTAAAAAATCCTCCTTATCATCCCAATCCTCCTTTTGATCTTCGAAGGCCCCCCTTGTTCCACTAAAAAAATTTGAGAGCCCCCCATTTTCTCCTCCACCCCTCCCCCCCCACGACTTAAATAATGACCAGTCCTCAGGCCAAAACTTTGTGGCCGTATTAACAAGGTGACCGTATTAACAGGGTGGGCGCATTAGCGGGATATTAGTTGAAATCTTCCGAGCATGAGGCGCCAATTTATTTTGGACCGTGGTCTTGGCCGGCATTAGATTTTCCAATTTAGCGGCTTTGGCAGTTAATAGCACTGTTTATGCTAATAAAACAGTTATACGAGAGTCCTGAATATAGAAGAGGTAGAATGGGAGCTGGGATTCGCCTTTTTTTGGCGGAAATGGGAATTTACGCACTGTGAATGGGATTTACAAACCGCCCCCAAAAATAATCAAAAAATGGGGGGGGGGGGGGGGGGGGGGGGAGTGGGAGAGCGCGAAAGACCGTCTGCCCAGAAACACTAGGATTTTGAGTAGCCCGTCTGCTGGTGGACGGGAATTAGTGATTGGCTGAAACGCTCTCAATCTCTGTCTGTCAGACAGTCTGTCTGTCACTTGTACTGAAACTCTCGTCCACGCGTTCATATCCTCCAAACTCGACAACTGTAACTCTCTGCTCTTTGGCTTACCAAACAAACTCTTAGATAA